GGCAGACTCAAATGATAGTTATGGGTTTTTTAATTAATTTATTTCCCTAGCGAAGAAAACAGTGAAGCCAAGATTCTAAGTTCCTGAAGTGTGAACAGAGGCCAAGTGGGAGCGAAAGGAGCTGTGGGATGGGGTTCTGCTCTGCTGTGGACTTCAGCAGCCTGCCAAGGTGAACTCTGGGAGACAGTGGGATGCTCTATGTGAGTTGCTGCCGTCCACGAGGAGTGGAGGAAGTACAGTTCCCAGTTCCTGCTGCTGCAGGCACGTGGGGAGTGAACCAGTGACTGACAGCCCCATCTGCACATCTCTCAAATAAGTAAGTAGAAAATCAATCAACATCAGCTTAGCCAAGGCGACTCAGGTACCTCATCAGTGACTGATGCTAACTTTTTTTTTTTTTTGAGATTTATTTATTTGAAAAGCAGTGAATGAGACACACGGACAGAAAGAGATCTTCTGTCTTCTATTTCACTACCCAAATGGCCACCCAAATGGTCAGCTGGGGTTGAGCTGACCCTAAGCCAGGAGCCTCTTCCAGGTCTCCTATGCAGGTGTAGGTTGCAAGGCTTTGGACCATCCTCCACTTTCTTCCCAGGCCATGAGCAGGGAGCTGGACTGGAAGTGGAGCAGCCAGGACTAAAATGGACGTCTACGTGGCATGCCAATACTATAAAGCAGAGGATTAACCTGTTGTGTCACCATGCTGGCTCCAGTAGTTAGTTCTTGAGACACTGGTAAGACAGCTCCTGGCTCCCAAGGGTGTTATGCCTGGGCTCAGAGTTCAAGGTCCAGACAAAAGCAGGTGAGGGCAGGTGCACTTGCTCTGCTCTCTCCTCCCTGAGAGACTAGATACTGTGGCCTGGCCTGTGGCTGTGAGGAAGAATAGAGAGCGGGGACAGTCTCCACCCACAATACTACCTGGCCAGTCCGTCCCTTGTGAGCCTGTCCAGACTGTGGCCAGTGCTGCATCCCCATCTGAGAGGCATTCAGTCCATGAGCAAGGCTGCAGCGATCCACAGGGCAGATTTCACATTCTGAACTGCATGACTGCTTTAAAAAAAAATCCGAAAGGGAGTGTGAAGAGTGATAAGAGAGAGAAAGGGCAAATGGCTCCAACAGTCACATCGAGGTCAGGTAGAAGCTGGGAACCAGGTACCAGGAAGTCTACCCTGGTCTCCCACATGAATGGTAGAGGCCCAAATGCTTGGGTCATCATCCACTGCTTTCCCAGGTGCCTTGGCAAGGAGCTGGCTGGAAAATGGAGCATCTGGGAGTTGGCCAGTTGGCTTCACCTTGGCTGGCGTCCCCAGGTTGCGGCTTAATCTACTGTATCCAAACGCTGTTCCCGTATGACTGCTCTTAGACAAAGACTGCTGTGCCTGTGCCACAGAGTCTCCTCAGGTTAGAGCTGCAGAAGGCTGGCGACTTTCTGTGCTTCCATTGGATGAGAAGAGCTCTGCCCTGTAGGCACTGCCTGTGCAGGCTGTTTCCTGGCCAGCAGTGTATCCCATGCCCATTTCAAGATGAGAAACCTGAAGCCCGGGTGGGGGGCTGGGGCTTGTGAGGGGTGAGGCTTAAGTAACTTGCACCTTAGCTTGCTCAGCTTGGTCCCAGTATCTGTAGGCAGCAAAAGAGGAATTCTATCCCAGTTCTGAGGGTTCTTAGGACACCCTCCTTTGGTTGCAACGACAGAAAGTCAGGCAGCAAGCCCCGATTTACAATGCAGCAGGCACTGTGCTAGGCGCCAAGAGGGGAGAACAGCACAAGAGACTCCTGTGCTTCCTGGCTGTGGGCTACTGGGTCCCTGCACAGCTCTGTCTTCGGCCAGCAAAGGCCTTAGGACTGCCACGACATCCTCCGAGAGTGGGTGTGGACAGAAGGGGAGAAAGATACGGCGGTGTCTCTCCCGCACATGAGAACAATCCAAGCCAAAACCATGGCAGGGCTTGCTTGGTTACACCAGGCAGGCACCAGCGAGGTCAAGAACGGCAGCAAAGGGCCTGGGAACCCTCCGTTCCGATCTCAGGTCTGAATGGAAGTCTCCTAGAGTGTGGGGATCACCATTGCTTGAGACAACTTCTTCACACAGGAATTACTGGGTTCAGCTTCCCAGAGTTAGCCCAGGAGTGCATGCGAGTCTCCTTTCTCCCACCCCTTCCCTCTCCTCTGATGGAGATAAGCCTGGGCACAGGCAAGCATTACAAATGCGTGCAAGTCAACATCCAAATGGATTGCTTCACAGTGACATTAATGGCAAGAAGGAAGGTGACTCCACACTTCATCCCAAGCAGAGAAGGGACAGACCAGGACACATACAATCCAGAAGGGCCCTTCCTAAATCAAGCAATTTGGATACAGAATCAAGTGCTAGGCCACAGCACAAGCTTCCGCTTTGTGAATTTCAAACTAGAAAACAGCACTGTGACCAAGATAGCCACCACCTTGTCTCGTCTCCCATCCCCACTTCTACAAGTAATGCAATCAAGATTTCGAGAAATCCAAAGGTTTGCAAATGGCAAGGCTAGGACTGGAAGAGATTCTAAATCTTCCTGTGGCTTCCCAGGACAATGGTACCCACTTTCTCCAGGAACTTTTACAACCTCTCACTCTGTCCTTATTGTCCTCACTTACAGACAGGAAAACCACAAAGGGGCAATGACCAGCCCCTGGTGGCCCACGAGCACTCATTGGGTTAGGCTTCATTCCTAGCTTTCCCTGCAGTTTCTCTGCTCTCTCCTGCCTCACTGGGCCATCCAACCACACGACAGCTCATCCAGGAAAGAGAACAGAAAGCAGGGCCCGGCGCGGTGGCCTAGTGGCTAAAGTCCTCACCTTGAACGCGCCGGGATACCATATGGGCGCCGGTTCTAATCCCGGCAGCTCCACTTGCCATCCAGCTCCCTGCTTGTGGCCTGGGAAAGTGGTTGAGGACAGTCCAATGCTTTGGGACCCTGCACCCGTGTGGGAGACCTGGAGGAAGTTCCTGGTTCCTGGCTTCAGATCAGCATAGCATCGGCTGTTGTGCTCAATTAGGGAGTGAATCATCAGATGGAAGATCTTCCTTTCTGTATATCTGACTTTGTAATAAAAAATAAAGAAATCTTAAAAAAAAGAAAGAAAATAAAATAAACCTTAAAAAACAGAAAGAAAGAAAGGAGCACCCTCCAGCTGGCCGATGATACTCCCAGATCGAACCACGGCTGATGAAGCCCCGTCCTTTATCTTCAACCATCACCTTGGCGGGGCCCTCTGCTGAGCGTGCAGCAATTCTGAAAATGCCCAGCCCTGTGCAACGACTCACCAGTCCGCTAAGTCCTCACAGAGAAGCCCCACCCCGAGCGCAGGCCTCAGCCACACACTGCCCTGCGCCAGCCGCTCTGCTCATGAGGAGGAGACCCCCGGACGATCTCAGCCCCATCTTTCATCCTACAGAATCCCCCCACACAGCCTTTCTCAGCCCTACACACACCCCATGCATGCACTAGAATCGCACTGCTTCACTCTAAATCACCCAAAGCAAGAATTCGCACCTCCTACAAATCAAATCTCTCCAGGGATATGGATGTGGCAAGGAACAGAGATAGGATTCAGTTTCTTTTTTTATTTTGAGTTGGATGCTTTGAGAGGCTGAGAATGGGTCTCTATTGCCCTCGATAATGTCAATTTTTAAACATAGAATGATGCTTTTGCCAAAGTTGCCTTTAACTTCCTGATTGCAAGTAATAGATAACTCCTGGGAACTTCTTGGTAGCTGAATCCATGCATTCCCACCTACGGGGACACAGAGGGACGCAATGACCCAAACTGGCCAAGGTTGGGAGGAATGAAGCAGTAGTGGGGGCGGCGCCAGGAGGGGAGAACTAAGGAGAAAGGCTGTTTTTTCCCTTTTTTTTAAAGTAAAAGTGATCCCAGGAATTCTCCCTCGTTCCTGTTTCCGCGCAGCTCGTGGAAGACGGCGAAAGTGCAGAAGCCAGGGCAGTGATGTCAAAAAGCCGGAAGTTTTCCGAAACTCGGGGCCCCCCCGCAGTGCGCTGGCGCCCGCCCAGGATGCAAACTCCGGGCTGCCCAAGAAGCGCACGCGCCACAACCAGACAAAGCAAGCGTCCTCCGGCACAGGACGCACAGCCACGGGTTCGGCGGCCCAGGCCTGGCATGCAGGCCCGGGCCGGCCTGGAGCGCCCGAGGGCCGGATGCCCGCAGACCACACACCCGCCTCCTTGCCCGCCCCGTGCCGCGCCCCACTTCAAAGGCCAGAGCTGCATGGCAGCACCAGCGGCCCGCGCAGCGGTGGCTTTCATTCAGTGCCGAGTCTTCCCAAAACGGGAGGATAGGGTGGACCCCGCAGAAACTGGGCCGTAGGGAAAGGGCGGGGAGAGACCCTCGCTACGGGACGGAAACCGAAAAAAGATCCCGCCGTGTTTGTTAAATAAAGGAGACAGGCTCCCCCGGTCTTTAACCCTCACCTGCCCCGCCCAGGAAGGTAAGGTAGAACGGAGTGTCTGTCCCACGGCAGATGTTCCCACCTCCTAGCACACACAGATATCCCCTAAAGCACACCCAATACTGTCTCCAAAACACACCCAACATACCACAAACACACCCATCACACACACAGCCCCAACATACACAGAGCGCTCTAACACACACAGTCCGCAACACACACACACACCTCCCAATAGTCCCAACACTCACCCAGACTCCAACACCACCCCCCCCCCGTCCTCAACACACACCCAAGATACCACACCCAACACACACACTGCCCCAGCATACTCAGAACCCTCCAACACACACCCAAGGCACCACACACAACACACACTGCCCAACACAGTCTATACCATACACCCCACACAACGCACATATAGTCCCCAATACACATACTGCCTCAACATGTCCGGAGCCCTCTAACACACACCCAGGACACCACATACACTGCCCCCCCCCCCACACGCCTAACCCCGCATCCCACCCCACCGCGCGCGCAGTCCGTCCGACCTCACCTTCTGGATCGTCTGGTCTACCGCCTTCTGGAAGACCCGGGCCACCAGGAGCGTGACGCTGGTCACCAGCAGGAGCAGGGACAGCGTCCCCGCCGTGTAGAAGCAGCACCTGCCCATTGCGCGCGCGGCTCCCAAGGGCAGGGAGCGAACCCTGCCGGTGCTGCCGGTGCTGCCGCCGCAGCGGCGGGAAGCCCGGGGCCCCTGGCAGTCGGCGCGCTGCCCGCACTCCGCGTCCGGTGCGCGCGGCTGAGGCCTGCGCGGCCGGTCGAGCGTGGCTCTCGGTGCAGGCGGCCGGCGGGGGCGCGGACAGCAGGGCCCGGCCTCGGTTTCGGTTTCCGGGGCTGGCGCAGCTCCGGAGGGTGCAGGGAGCGCACAGGGCCGCACCGCCTGCAGACCTGGCTCGCCGCAAGCCCTGAACGGCGACGGCCGGCGACTGCGCGGAGAGGCGGGCGGGGCCAGGCGGCCGCAGTCATGTGCCCGCCGCGGCGGCCGCCATTCGGCCCTGCTGCGCCGCGCCCCTGCGCTGCAGACGCGCGCGGTCCCGGTTCACTCGTTCAAGCACCCGCTCGTCAAAGGTGCGCTGCTAGCCTACTGGGGGGCGAGCACCGGGGACCCTGTGATAGTCGTGAGAGCTCCGTGTGGCAAGTGCCTTTCCCAGGGGTGCCCTGCCTGGTGACCCTGGAACCTCCCAGTGGAACTGGGTTGGGGATGAAAGAGCACAGTGGAAGAGACGTGAGGGGGCGTACCCTTGGGCTGTGGGCTCAGGTATGCCGGGTGTGGGTGGGAGACGTCCAGACCACGCGTCACCAGAACGCGAAGGGTTCTCGATGTTCTGCTGTTGCCAGGAAGCCTGATGCGGACGGTAGAGCAGGCTTTCCGCCTTTTGCCCACTACTGTATGCCAGGCACCCCGGCCAAGGCTTGCACACCGCAGGAACCTGCTGCAGAATTCGGGCGGTAGGGGAGGGAAGATGGGTTTTCTACTTCCCGACTAGGCGGCTCCTAGGTGCGTACCACCCCAGCAGCCAAGGACAGACGTAAGCAGTTGTGTCTGTACCCGACTTCACAAGCAATACAGGGAGAACTGTAAGAGGTGAAGGGGACAGGGGCCGGCTCTGGGCTACAGATGCAAACCTAGCGAGGGATTCAGGAAGATAGGAAGGTCGGGTGAGAAGACCGGGGGCTGAGGTGCATGGCTAAGAGGGTCAGCAAGAACATGAAGAGCAAACCGGTTCCTCCCAGCAACAGGCCTGCCTTAGCTGGGCTACTGCTCCTCCTGGCTTGGGCGCCGTCTTCAGAACTGGTCTCGTACCTAGGGGTGACTATTAGGTTAGATTTTAGTGGAACTCCACAGAGCCAAGAGCCAAGCATGCTGTGGGCTTGGCTTGACCTCTGTAGTTGCACAGCCCCTTCTGCTATGCTAATTTCACCTGAATCAACTAAGGACACATATTCAAAAACGATGCTACTTAGTAGCAGGTGCATACAATGTAGTTAGGCACAGGATGGATTTCTGTGAGCAGAATGAGAACAGGCGGTCCACCCCACCCCACCCACCATTCCCTGAAGACTACAGTGTAGCAATGATGACTTTCACAGTGTATTGAGTGTTATTTAAACCAGTCTAAAATGCACCGGAAGATGTGTATGTAGGGTCGTGCAAATACAATAAGTCTTTAGAAAAATTTTTTTATTTTAAAAAAAACTTTAAATACATCTTTTAAAATTTTTTTTTATTTTTTATTTTTTCTAAGGATTGGAGCATCCCTGAGGGATCCTGGAAATGACCCCCAGCAGAGACTGGCAGGCAGCTGTGTGAGCCTCATGGCATAGAGCAGGAAGTCAGGGCTCTACAGTTAGCAACCCAGTAAACCTGGCCAGCCTTTGGGTGCTAGATCGATCTTGCCTTGACCCAGGTGTGCCTTGGCCCAGGTGTGCCGCTCCATACCAGGTGTTGGCCTCCAAAGCCCTCTCTTGTCTGACTCTGTGTGTTGCTGCCTCCCAGTGCCGTTAATGAGAATCCTGGAACAGGGGCTCTGTGAGATGCTGGATTAGTTTTTATGTGGCTCATTCTTGGCCACACCTTCCCCCTCAGATGTCGGCTGGATTTGCTTCATCAGTAGAAGATAGTGGCAAATGGCCATGTCCAGAAACTGTTGAAACCGGGATGACAAATGCTTTGTGACTTCCGCCTGGGCCTCTTGGAAAGCCTGGCTTTGGAAGCCCCAAGCCAACGCTAAGACCACCACCCCAGAGTGTGGGAGAGAGCCCCGAGGAACAGTCAGAGTCTGTGGGGGAGAGATGCCTTCCCAGTCCCAGCTCCTCCCAACAACACACACAGCCTTTGGAATCATGGGCCCCAACATGAAGAGGTCCCCGCTGAGGCCTTGACAAAAGGATGTATTGCTGTGGTTTCCAGTCACTGAGCTTTGCTGTTCTGGGTGACTCGATGGCAGGTAACTGGAGCAGGGGCTGAGGGTAGACAAGGGCCAGGACACAGACAGTGACCATGCTGCCCACTCCTAGCTCCACTCAGCCTCAGCCCATTGAGCCGAAGCCCCAGGGAGCTAGTCCTGTGTGGCACTGGAACCTGGTGTGTTCCAGAACAATCCAAGTTCACTGGGGGGCCCCCATCCCAGGTGCCCCGCAGCAGCCTGCCATGTTAACACCTGTTATGTCACCAGCTCTGTTTTAGACTTCGGTTGTCAGCCTTGGCTCTGTGCCCCAGTGTGCACCAGTGAACATGCTGGTTCACTGACCCTTGCTTGCCACTGCCTGGGCCTGGGTTGGGGTCCTGCTGCAGTCTGGGGTGCCATTTCCTTCCCCCAGCTAGAAAGCGTGGGAAGCTTGGCTGCCTGAGGATGTGGCACATTCAGAGGGTTCTTGTTTGGATGGAAATCCCACCCCCAGCCCTGACACTAAAAGCTGCTGGCTCAAGGCTGCTGGGGGTCTCTGCCCCCTGCAGCCCTGCGCTACTAATCCTGTACTTCACTGGGATGTCTTCCTGTCCCTGCGCCAGTAGCAGAGCAACAGGCCTTGGGACATGGAGAGAGGGGCCGGACTGCTTGATGAACGGGTCGGAGTGGGGCTGTTTCCCAGCTGGGAAGCACTTGCAGCTCAGCTGCCCTTAGCACACCTTCATTTCCCCTTGAGGTCAGCCATTTGGTGGGCAGCTTCCCCTTTAAGAATTAGGCCAACCCAAACAAAAATCTCCTGCTCAACCAAACAAAAACCTCCTGCTCGGTTCCTCACAGCACTGGTGACCAGATGAGCATTTTTTTTTTTTAAGATTTATTTGCTTTAATTGAAAAGTTAGATATATAGCGAGGAGGAAAGACACAGAGAGAAAGATCTTCTATCCATTGATTCACTCCCCAAGTGGCCACAATGGCCAGAGCTATGGCAATCCAAAGCCAGGAGCCTGGAGTCTCTTCCGGGTCTCCCACACAGGTGCAGGGTCCCAAGATTTTGGGCCATCTTCAACTACTTTCCCAGGTCACAAGCAGAGAGCTGGATGGGATTAAAACTGGCACCAATATGGGATCCTGGTGCATGCAAGGCACTAACTTTAGCTGCTAGGTTACTGCGCCGGGCCTAAGACTAGCTTTATAAAAAAAATGGACTGCACAATAAGGATAAAAAGGAACTGATTATAGGGAAAGAACATGTCTTTTTGAAATGTGCATGTGCTCAAAATAGCAGTCTGTGGTCCCACAGCCATTTCTGTGTTATCATTGAGGCTAGCACAGGACCTGTTGTCTTTTGTTCAATTCTATCTCCTTGTTTTTAGGACAGCTCCTGTAAGGGAACCCAAAGCCACAAAACTCTGCTTTTATTTTTTTGTTTTTTTTTTTTGTCTTTATTGACAAGGCAGATTTACAGAGGAGAGACAAAGATCTTTTTTTTTTAAAGATTTATTTTTATTATTATTTTTTTAAAGATTTATTTTTATTTTTTTTATTGGAAAGGCGGATATACAGAGAGGAGAGACAGAGAGGAAGATCTTCCGTCCAATGATTCACTCCCCAAGTGAGCGCAACGGCCGATACTATGCCGATCTGAAGCCAGGAGCCTCTTCCGGGTCTCCCATGCGGCTGCAGGGTCCCAAAGCTTTGGGCCGTCCTCAACTGCTTTCCCGGGCCACAGGCAGGGAGCTGGAAGGGAAGCAGGGCTGCTGGGGATAGAACCGGCGCCTATATGGGATCCCGGGCGTGCAAGGTGAGGACCTTAACCACTGCGCCACCGCGCAGGGCCCGAGACAAAGATCTTTTGCTCACTGGTTCACTCCCCAAGTGGCCACCGCCAGAACTGAGTTGATCCAAAGCTAAGAGCCAGGGTTTTCTACATGGGTGGAGGGTCCCAAGGCTATTGGCCATCCTTGACTGGTTTCCCAGGCTACACGCAGGGAGCTGGATGGGAAGTGGAGCAGCTGGGACATGAACTGGTGCAGGCAAGATGAGGATTTAGCCACTGAGCCATAGCGCTGGGCCCAAAATTCTGTTCTAAGTATCTCCATGCCTGTTGGAAATCATTCCTCCCTCTGATCATAGATATGCCACCCTCCCCCGTACACACATATACAAACACAACTTTCATGGGGTTTTTTTAGATTCATTTATTTTTATTGGAAAGACAGATACACAGAGAGGAGAAACAGAGGAAGCTCTTTATCTGTTGGTTCACTCCCCAAGCAGCCGCAACTGCTGGAGCTGAGCCAATCCGAAGTTAGGAGCCAGGAGCTTCTTCCAGGTCTCCCACACAGGTGCAGGGTCCCAAGCCTTTGGGCCATCCTCAACTGCTTTCCCAGGCCACAGGCAGGGAGCTGGATGGGAAGTGGGGCTGCAGGGATCAGAACTGACACCCATATGGGATCCAGGAGCATAAGCGGCAAGGACTTCAGCTGCTAGGCTACTGCGCTGGGCCCTCATGGTTAATTTAATTACCATAGAATTAGCTGATCCTACAGATAAGACTCCACCCTCTGTGTGGAGGGAGTGGCCGTGCCAGGCAGGTGTACAGGCTAATGACCGCTAACACCAGCTGGAGAGTCAGAGACATGGGGAGGGTTACTGTTTGGAGTCAGATGCCCTGACAGGGAGGTTTCCTGGTCCATTCTCTCTCTGGAAAATTTGAGTGCTTTATCTAAGAGGAGCAAGTCTGCCGTGGAAGGAATGATGGTGCCTGTTGGTGCCTGTTTACCTGTTAAAATGTCAAGGTCAATCCTAAGCCTAACCTTGGCGAAGATGCCTTATAAGCAATCCGTGTTCCACGAGGCTGGCCTTAGGTCACCACCCGGCCCCAACTCCTGACTCCAGCTTCCTGCTTCTACAGACACTGAG